CCTTTCTCGTTTTGCTTTTTGTCGGGGGGGGGGGGATAAACACACCAGCCTATATCATTCTTGTGTGAGAAAGCGTGATTAGAAATGTGGACAGAGGACTTAAAAAACTTCAGGCCGGGAAAATATTTGTGACGCTCAGTCCATTGGTGGATTAGGCTCATTTTAAACAGTAGGCTACCGGATTTAAAATCAACTTCTTTGTTTGACAAAGCCGGCCACTCCTAGCTAACTCAAATCTGCTCGATTCGGTCCCATTTTAGTCTCTCTATTCTGAAGAACCAAGCAGTATTCACTGCAGCAAACCATTTGTCAGATTCAGCCACTTCCATGACCAGCAAGGAACAAAACAGCATTATTCTATGGGCAATGTTTCTCCTGTACAGGATTAAAAACGATGAGAATAGACTGATCGTGGAAGGAGCTAGAGAACACAAACTTTTGTTTACTAGTTTTGTTTCCTACGCGAAGCCCTGTGTGCGAAATGTACTGAGGAAGTTGACCGTCCTTCAGAGGAGATTATGTATGGCGGGTTACAGCGTTCGAGTCCGGTAGAACAACAGTGACCAGTAGGTATGAAGGACGCGTTTTTTCGATTACTGGAAAGCGTCTGTGATTGACTTTGCACAGCTCAGTGGGAGATATAGTTCCAAAACTATTACCTATCCTCATAATACTTGTTGATTTGCTTCTCGTTGTTTATCCCAAGCAGTTCAAACGTTCTGTTGTCAAGCCACTCCACCCTGCTCTAACCGAGTTCTTCCACGTTCGAGTACTTCTGTTCCCACAGACTGCTACAGGGGTTCAAGATGAATTTATGCGGTTTATGGCTTTACCAAGCCTTACTTACTTCAGCAAGATCAGCTGGATGTTCAAAATCGCATTCTGCAACGTGATCCAAGCCGACAATAATTATACGGGTGCATGTGGTTAACGAAAGAAGAACACCACGTGGTTGCAAACACAACGTTCCGGATGAAGCATACATTAACTTTCAACAAAGAACGGAATAAAGTCGATAGAAATCGAATCGCGCCATTTGGTCGCATTTGAACTAAGGCTTGTACTGTATTCCTGGTTAGGCATCACACCCGAAACAAACATACCCGCAGAAGGGAATAAATGGCAGGCAGTTGGAGCTCGAGGTCATGTTTCGAATGACTATTTTGGTTGAAACTTAGCGTTCGAAAAATGTGGGCAGTTAAGTTCCTTTGTTTAAAACGTGAGACGAATTAGGTAGGAGATTGGACAATATCGAATTCGGATTTACCAGAACTCCAGCGAAGTTTAACGACTTCCTGTGGTAGTCAGAGTTCATTAACCCAAAATAGGTATTGCTTAACGTTGCGAACTTACGTTTCGATGACCTTGATTCTAATTCATGTGTGAGTGGCTCTAAATTAGCCTTCGAACCCCCCCCCCCCCCGCTGTGCACACACTTTGGACATTACCATTATACATGCGGTGGCAAACTCAGAGTCAGAATGACTTGATTTTTATTAAATATTATGAACAATGATCGATAAAATTGCCTGGCAACAGAACAATACCAAACATCGTGGGAATGATGCACAAGTTCGTGTGCAAGGAAAAAGGAAACTACTAGCTGTCTGGCAAGTAAACTGCAAAGCTCTGTGAACAAATAGTCTACAGTCGAATTCTCCCCTCATTATAGACACACACTTTGGACATTACCATTATACATGCGGTGGCAAACTCAGAGTCAGAATGACTTGATTTTTATTAAATATTATGAACAATGATCGATAAAATTGCCTGGCAACAGAACAATACCAAACATCGTGGGAATGATGCACAAGTTCGTGTGCAAGGAAAAAGGAAACTACTAGCTGTCTGGCAAGTAAACTGCAAAGCTCTGTGAACAAATAGTCTACAGTCGAATTCTCCCCTCATTATAGACACTTGAGTCACATTGTGAAGTCCTACCAGCACTGAATATCTCTATATCTATCGAACTCATGGTTCAGGTACCCCTAGATGATGCTTTCCAGAAGTTTGGGGCATGTTGCACGCTGTCGGAGAGTATTCAGAAACTCCACAAATACCGTTTCAAAAATGGAGCGATTTCAGTTTAATGAGGTAGATGATTCTCCGGTTGTGCCTACCAGAGTTATTTGTCAGTTTACTGAGAAACGCAACTCCACTTTATCACACGCAAACACTTTCACATGACTTGATGCTTTCTTTATGAAGTTCAGTACTGCTCTGCGAACGTTTGATGTACTACGTGTGTGTAGGGTGTGCACTGAGCATTTGGATCGATAATGACCTTCAAAATGTGTGGTTACTTCATCGCTGATTTCGAAAAGTCTTCCAAATTTGTCGGATTTTAATCTCATCAGTTAGGCTGTAGTGCTAATCTCCGAGGGCAAATGTGTGTCTTTAGGTCGGATTTGTTCGGTCCCATCCAGGTTCATACAAAGCTATGTGTTGGGACACCTAAGTGGGTGTTTAAGTTAACGAGACTGGAAAATGGATTGAGATCAATTGGGGTTATAGAGTAGCTTTGTTGTAACTTTGTTGATGCACCGCTCCACACTGCATTGCTTTCATACACCCTTCAAATGTTTGTGCTTCTATTGTTCTCGGCGTTAGCAGTCAAGTGTACTTTGATTTGGGTCAAACATACTTGGCTTCAAGAGCAAACGTCACAATTTTTTGTATGCCAACGTCTGATAAATTCCATCATCACGCATCTGGGTATCATCTACACACAAAGAGTAAACGCTTGAAAATGCCTGAAAAATGCATTCTGATGCGAGCTCTAGTGCACTTGAAACTTGTTCCAAATTGTATGAAGCTGAAATGTCAGTGAACATGTAATCTGGCCAAAATGAATATTGGGTGATCAACTTGCAAAATACATCGGGCAAACGAATTGTTGCTTATCAAGAACAGTATAGTGGGGAGGGCTCGCTTTGGCTATCCTTCGCGAAAGAGACACCACCTGTCACCGATGTGGAGAAGTAAACCCTACAAAGTATCTCAGCCGATGATGAGAGAGTAGATTTATTTTCATTCCTTAATATCATGCTGCAGATGGTTGGAACTTTCGAGTCTTTATTGTGAACCGATGTTGGACTGTTCGCTAATCAGTCAACAAGGTCAGCGATCTAAAGTTCCTCTACATATAGTACATTCAACACAAGGCACCATTTTTCCTGTACAATTAAAATCCAACTCATGAATGGCCCCTTTAGCGGACTACACTGGCGGTTCCTGTCTAATACTCTGAAGAGGACTCATCCCACGAAGAAGCTTAAGGGCCTCCATCTCGTCAGAGATGCATTCTAAGGTTAGTAACATAATTTCTGAAAGTTCACTCCGCTGAGTAGGCAACGATTTGCTTTGTTCTAATAGACTAGGTTACCTTGCTGCACACAATCACACAGGTAATTCTGTTGCAGTAACCACACAGCTGTTACTTCTATTCGGTAAGTGGTTATTTGGTCGGAGTGAGAGGGTTCAGTGGTTAGAACGCGAATTTACAGACCGGAAGGTCCGCGGTTTGAACCCGACCTCTGCCTCTCGACTTTTCCTGTCTAGGCTTGAGCAGCCGGGCAGTGTCCCAGCCCTCGTGCTTGCTTCGGGTGGCATATCAGTTAGGCACCGAAAGTGTGTTACAGCTAGACGATTATCGATTATTTTGTTTATTGAGTCAGGAAATAGTCGACCCCGGAAATTCCGCAATTTAGTTATTCGCTTGCGCCAATAAATATTTGCTTCTCTGCCGCTCATTGTTCTTCCTCGTAAACCATTTCCTTCTTCACAGATGGAATTTCGAATTATACAGGTCAAATCTACTGTATTACACCAAAATGCATGCCAGATTAGCATACATTATAGAATGCTCAGCTCCTAACCGGAGAGGGATTTCGGCGTTCAAAATGGGGAACTAAGGGGCTTAAAATGAGTGTCTTAAGAATTGGCTTAAAAACACTGTTCACTGTAGTCGGTACGCTTGGTAAATGTACTATCAGTAGAAATAAACTTAGCTACAACAAATTGATGGCCTAGTCTAGAACAGTTTATGCACTCATATTCAGCTGCTATGTTTGAGTTCAAAAATTTAAGACTTTCGGTGCTAACTCTGTAATCTTATGTCTGCCCTCTTTCAGTATAATACCTTTGAATCGATAACTCTTGCCATCATCTTTGTTTTTTTTGGTTGGCCAGCTAAATCAAATTTAGCCATTTGTTTCGGTAGATATTCACAGATTTGTTATAGAACACACCTATTTGTTCGGCAGAGTTCAGTTTCTGAGACATAATATGGACTGATAAGTTACATGCGGAGCACAATTATCTGGCGGATTGCAAGGCGCACACCACTCAAAGGTCATCTAGGGACTGACGATTTCACGTGACTTTCCCAAAAGCGTATAAATCCCAACTAAGGAGTGTTCTGATGGCGGTTCGACCGCGTGGTGCATTCAGTTCGCTTCTAATGGCCACAGATGAAGCGGTACCGTGTGTTTGAGCTGGAAGCCCCGTTAGGATTACCTCTCCTAACCTCTGGATAGAACAGCACATAGCGATCCACAGTAGGTTGCGATTGACTTGGAAGGCAGTTTTAGGCTGATCGGAAGGGTGAAACAAATTCGGAGTTGTCTTCCTTGAGGAGAGCACGTAGTGTATAAAATGAAGTAATCTTTATGCAGTGATCACTTTGTATACAGTGGTTGTACTGCATGAGTTGCGATCAATCATCCTCGCACGTATCAACCCTCCTTGAGTGATGAGAGTTAAATTCCTCATCAGACTTATTTGCCTAACAGGTTTGATAACATTTTTGATGCCTCAAAAAAGCTGAAATCACACCTTCAAAACAAAGTTTTCCTTCATGAAAATATACTGCGATATCTCCAATATCGTGCCAACTGAAACATGAGGCGGCCTGTATGCAGCACATTTAGTTGTAGAATATCATAAACGAGAGATTCAGTCGAGCTTCTCGTGAAGACCAAATTGATTTGCAAATGAGTGTATTTCTCGAAAGTTTTGTATTCTTCCGCTTTCCTTTAGTTTGTTTGATCCACTTCTAGTCTCTATTTCATGCATCTCCCAATGTTTTGACCATGCAAAATAAGGAGGGGCGTATGCAACACCAACTCGTGTTACCGAGTAGTCATCTACTAAGAAGAATACCGAACAATTCAGTTTGAGGCTAAATTAAAAGGAGTTCTGTGTCCAGGAGCTCGGGATACCTCGGAGGTTACGCTACACACTTAGCGACAGGAAGTTCTGTGGTTAGAACCCGATCCCGGTATCTCGACTGCTCCTGGCTAGGCTTGAACAGCCTAGCAGTACCTCAGTCCTCATGCCTCTTCTGGGTGGCGCGGCAGCCAGACACTATGGGGCTTTTACAGCTGAACTAATCTATAACTAATGCTGCAACGAGAGGGCTCAGTGAACGGGTATACACTGTATCAGAAAAAGCGTTCTCCACTAAACCCATGAACTACTACAGTCGCTAACCAAAAGCGACCACCAATCATCTGCCATTTCTTGGCATGAATAATCAGATTTATCAGATTTAAAACTTGTCAAGGTGGCTATAAGTAACCAGTGGAAACTCTCTTTGACTTATTATTAGTATGAAGATAGTGCCCTACTTATATTTTGTAGTCAACGGGGGTTATCCTAACTTTTTAGATCAGATTTCCCCCAGCAAATGCAGACTACCTATGCTCAAAGTGGAGCAAGATAGCGCTGTTTCGTCAGTAGTATTGAGTACCATCAGCGCGCACCTTACAAATCTCTAAAGATATCCTAGATTTTTTTTATAATATGTTTGTACAATCAAGCTTTATGCCGTGGATGTGTATGCGCGAGGATAGAGTATCTCACATCTTTACATCACCTAGTTCACATCATCCTGTCCACTCGCTGGGCGCACCCACCTGTAATCACGTGACAAACCCGCTGTGATGTTGAAAACCGGGCAGTTCCCGCTGTTAGATTTAACACTAGTGGTAAATACAGGTTGCATCCATTAGCCAAATACGAATCCAATTGAATAATTTACTATTCTTAAGGGAAGTAACAGTTATACGGATTGAATGAAGCGGCCTGCGTAACCTTGAATAGGCTTTTGTTCTAAAGCAGGGATCACGTGAAACTCATGGAACTAGGTGGGGCATGATGAGAGTTGTACATCTAAAAAAGAGTCTTCACGCATAGAGTTTCTGTCAACTGATTGTGTAAGCGTTCAAGTTTAACTGGTTGTCATTAACTTGGTAACCGGTTCTTCTTTCGTTAGGCAAATCAATCATGTATCATTGCGCTCGAATACGAATATCGTTATCAATCCAGGTCAGGACTTGTGTTTGGCAAGCAACTGTCCTGCACAGCACCCAAAAGCGGGTCCCTTTGTGTCACGGCAATTCGTTTTCTATATCTTAACTCGCTGCTGTAAAGTAACATAAGAGGAAATGAATGAAAACTAGCCTCGAGTCCTTCAATTAATTAGGAAGACAGGTGCACTTTTTGATTATAGATACATTTCAAATTTCAAGCACCAAATTCCTCCATTTGTTAATGAACGTGATACAAAAAACAGGCACCGACCAAAAAGCGAACAGCTACACCTGAGTTACGCAGCTGAAAAGCCTTCGTCACATGCACTCTAAAAGTTTTTTCAGTTTTTAACTGTTTTGCAGATCACACGCGTAGTTACAGTTGTCCCAACAGAATATCGAGAAATGTAAAGCAGTTTTCCTAAAGCAATGAACTAGTTTACGTGTTCCAGATGTCGGCGAATCCGTAACGAAGCAATTAGAAAGCGCGTTTTCGGTCGTGCAACGGGTACTTCCATTGAAGAATATGTCCAGCACCAGAAGCTGCGTTGGTTGGGACATGTGTTAAGTATGCCGAACCATCGTTTGCCGAAGAGAGTACTGTTTTCCATGCCCAATTCGGAGTGGCGTAAACAGAGAGGTGGCCAACCCTTGACATGGAAGAGGGGTATGAAGGAGATCACGAAACGCTTGGGTGCTGTCGGTGCTACTCGCCTTCCAGGATGGGGACCGCATGATCCTCACTGTGCCTGGTTGGAGACACTACAAGATATGGCTGCCAATCGATGTTAGTGGCGTTCTCATCGTCAGTTTCCATCCAGATTGCCTGAGTGAATGTCTGGGGTTGTAGGTACCTCTGAATGATTGGGGTAAACTAGCACTAAGTCTCTCCCCCGTCCACCTTTACTCTTTTCTTTATAATAAGGCTTTCAAATAAATCATGGTTGTACAGCGGTGAAGCGTCGGTGTCGAACATTGATGTCATGCTGTCGATGATGATGAAGTGTTCAAGACATAGTCATAAAGTAGTTGAAAAATCTTCGATAGTCGGTTCTGCTCCTCTTGGGGCTCGTCACATGGGTGCAGGCTCCGCGTTTCCGTCAACCTTATGTTCTACCGAACCCCAGTTGGACAGATTTTGACACCCTCGTTTACACACGAACTTCGTTTAGACGAGAGACTCATCTGAATCACGCTGAATATCTCGCCTAGAAGGCAGCCTGGTGGAGCACATTCAGTTGAACAATGGCATAAACGAGAGATTCAGGTGGAGTCGACGCGTCTCCCATTAGGACCAATTTGGTGTGAAAATGAGTTTGTCTATCATCCGATTCGGACATGTTACTGAACAACTCCATGGTGCAGGCTGTTTCCGTCAACCTTATGTTCTACCGAACCTCAGTTGGACAGATTTTGACACCCTCGTTTACACACGAACTTCGTTTAGACGAGAGACTCATCTGAATCACGCTGAATATCTCGCCTAGAAGGCAGCCTGGTGGAGCACATTCAGTTGAACAATGGCATAAACGAGAGATTCAGGTGGAGTCGACGCGTCTCCCATTAGGACCAATTTGGTGTGAAAATGAGTTTGTCTATCATCCGATTCGGACATGTTACTGAACAACTCCATGTATTTTTTGCTGCGATGCCTTACAGTCCAAGCTCAATGAAATGAACTCCTTAGACCTGAAGCAGAGACGATTTCTGCTCCCCTGTCTGGTAGATTTACAGCCCGAGAGGACACAATTAGTTGGCGGTTTCAACTTTTTTCATAAGCAGGTCTGATGCACCAGCCTGCGATGTTAGCGAAATCTTCTTGTTGGAAGCGTACCTGATGATAATCTAAGATTTGCTATTTAATTAATTAATTAGTCATCAATACTTTTTAAGTACCCCGCACTCATCCCCACCTCGTTGTTAAATACTACACCTTCGTAATAACTAACTCAGTTTTGGTGAACTTATTCAAGTTTAGCTATGAGAGAAACCCACAACTCCTTACGACATAGATGTCCGGGTGTAACGGTGATACTAGTGATTAGGGGCATGCGAGTAGTATGTTTTCCCGTAAATCTGCTCTGCGTCTCGTAAAAAAGGGAGATCTATTGCGAAATTTGTGCAGTCGCTCTGTAGCATTTGCTTGGATTTGAGCAACAGTCAATGAATATCTGGGAAAGTTCAGGAAGACGCGTTCGAGAGAAGATGGATGTTCAGTTTTTGTAGACAAGATGCATATAAGGGTTTTGCTTCCCTGTCCAATAGTCTGTAACTAGCCTCCATCCTGCATCATCACGGGTATATGGACAATATACAGACGGGTTGACGAAACTGGGTGATCATTTGTAGCACGGATATTCGGAGCAATTCCGGATTCTCAGGATACGAACGGAATCCCATTATCCAGAATGCATGGGAACCTTTGCATGTCGGTTACCTCCTAGCGGGGTAACCTTTGAAGTGTTTCTTCAAGGTGGGCGTAGAGGACAGGTTTCAGGTGGGATGCTAATTCGATAGTTGCAACAACCACGTAGTCATTCACATTTCCGAACTGGCTGTAATCATGAGAAATGTTGGTAGCCTACCCACAGCGAACTTCGCTTTCAAACAGCGGGAAAATTTCGATAAAACAGACTTTGTTTCAAAAAACCACCGACGCGGTTAAGTAGTATGAGCAGACTAACATCAGAAAACGTATCATTTAACATCCGAATCTCTATCCCATTCAGATTTAATTTTTCCTAAAAAGTTGTTTCTTTAAAACAAAACTGGACCAATTCCCTTACCAATAGGATAGGCTGGGATATCACACACCGGGTGTTTAGACAAAACGCTGGTTTACATCGAACCGCAGACTACAGGAAATCGAGGTGAATGGTTGCCAACTCATCGGCAACTGGCCAGGCTCGAGTTGGCCACCGAACTGCTGGTCAAAGTCTGCTGTTCGAATCGTGACAAGTTATTGTCACGGCCCCTGTGACTTTCGCTAAAGTGCACACCCGGGACGGTTTACAATCCTATATGAAGGGTGACAATGTTTTTTAAAGCAGCCTATTTCCCTTCCACCACAGCTTTCCATTCATCACAAGCCGATGGAATTTTCATTTTTTCCAGCACATACCGAGCAAGTTACTAAAAACGAAAATCACGATGACAACCATTTCGCTGTCAGACTAGATATTTTGACATTTTTTTAGACAAATTCGCTTGAGTGGTGGTCACCAGCCCCTTCATCAAAACTGCGCTTACAGCAAAAAACAAAATGGAAATTCAGCCGACGGGAGGTCCGATAAAGTGTAGGTTTAAACTCTCTGCATTGCAAACAGCTTGCTACGTAACAGAAGGGCTCGGCATACAGTAGATTTTACGACGGGAACGCAGACTCCACGCATGAAACTAGCAGAATCAGGCTCGAACTTTCGATCATGACTAAGCTTCCGATGGTAGAACGCTACGGCTGTATGTTTATTCCGTCTGAACATTTCCATCTTTTCAGAAAACGCCTACCCAGGAAAACGCAGCTGGCACTGTGCCCAGCGGAAATTCAACGACACCGTCTATATTGAACTACCTGAGCCCGAAACCAATCCAACGAAGATCTAGAAGTCAACGGAGAGACACAACAGAAACTCATCGACACCAAGTTCGGGCGATTTTCGACCTGAGTTCCCAAAGAGAACGCCTCGTTCCCGTCGTAATAACATCCTCGGCAACACCCTTGGCTTCTGAGTCAACTCGAATCCCCTCCGACGAGTGCAGTAGTGATGAGGAGACGGCGAAACGTATTACAGACCGATTGAAACACGTTTCCAAGCAAATTGACGGCAAACAACACACGACACGAAAATCTATGGGCTGATGTCTCTGCGTGCGGTTTTACAAGTTGGTCTGGTTTAATACAAGCACCGTTTGTACTGTCCTCAACTTATTTGTTTAGTATAATGAGTTTTTACTTGTGTCGATGGGGTCGAACTACGTTCTAGAAATCTGCATAATAGTAGTAGTTGGTTATTGCTGGTAGTAGTATATTTAGTGGTTGTGGAATTCACTGTCACATCACCCTGGCCGTCCTCCCACTCGGATCAGTTTTATATGGACCCACAGAATTTTCCAGAGGTGTCTAGAGACACTTTAATGAAGAGCTACCTTTCAGTAGTATGGATTGGATAGGTCATTCGCTGTGGCATCACTTCGGGGAAAAAGTGCCAGGTAACTCGAAATAACGGCAAGGTCAAATCACTTCGAGGTGCCCTCAGCCTTTGCAGAATCGACCTCAAGGTGAGCTCCGCCAGAAGGTTGCCCCAAGGGTGAGAAGAACGCGAAGAAAATTAATGTGCACTGCATTCCCAAGTCCAAGTTTCGATACACTTGATAGGGTGTTCGATTTGTCCAAAATATTATAAGCCACCCCAAGATAGCGAAAGGTCACAATAATTTCGTACCACGAGAAATGCCTTGTTCCGTCCAGTTCTGGTGGTGTTTCCCCTCAAGAGACTGACGAATTCGTCCGAGTGTTACCGAGTTCACACAGAAGTTTGTGACCGCAACTGCTTTGTGCATGTAGTCACACAGAGAAAACAAGCGAGAATATAGACAAAAATGTATGTAATATCTTTTTTTCACTGGTCGGAATCCGCCTCAAACAGAGTAGAGATTTACGGCACGAATACAGTTATGAAGAATGATATTCCAGTTGCGCGGTAGCTAGCAGGGACTTCTTTGTTCAGCATGCAAACGGGACTCAGATCAATGTTGAACCGGTGGGAGAGATGGTGCAATAACGGAAACAAAATAAAATCATAGAAGGGGATAAGTTAACACACACGCGCAAACCATGAGGCACAATATAGTCTGTACAGGCACGATAAGCACGGCACGGGTGCATATTTATGCGAGGAGGGGAACAGAAGAGCAACGAGTTAGCCGGACGACTTAATGAGGATGATAGAAGAATCGCTCGAATGTGTCTGGATGTGTGAAAGAGGAGATGAGATGGGCCGAATAGTGCTCTGAAAGCCAACAAGCTCCAGTTTATTGGGAGTGGGGTTAGAAAGACTGGAAAGCAACTTGTTCAAGGTGCCCCGGTGCTATACTTGCTGAGAAGTTCCTCGCAAATTTTGGTGAGCTCTGCGTTTTCGCGTTTCTAAAAGAAGGCGCATCAGAAAGAGTCGGATAAGATGTTGAAAAGCAAACGTGGTTGATATCAAATGAAACAAGTAGGCGATTTACGTAACGAACATGGTCCTTGTAACCAAATGATATACTGCAGGGGTGAGGTCAATCTGGAGTCCTGTTTATGATATGTGAACCTAGTTCAAGTAGAACATAGGGTTGACGGGAACTCGGGGACTGCGCCTACCTGATGGGCCCCAAGAAGGGCGAAACGGGTCGTGGGCTGTCGAAGAGTTTTCAGCAACCTTGTGAGCAGTCTCCTTCTAGTTAATGACGTTCAAATTCCATAATGAGCACCTCCACTTCCTAACGCAGTCGTAACCCTCAAAGACGGTGCCAACTGCTTAATAAAGCTTCGCGCAAAGATCTTGAAGGCCGGACCGTTTCAAAGAAGACAAACCTATCAACACTGGGTAGCATTTTCAAGGAACAATTACCGACGAATCCCGCCCAACATTATCGATCATCAGCGCATAAACAAAGGGGTAAAGTTTCTTGAACAAATAAATGCGCCTGATATGACAATTTCCTTCAGAGATACCTTATTTAACCAAGACTCTCCTAATCCAGCTACTGGTCTATTGTTACATCCCTAGTCGGTGTCCACATTGAGAACCAGAGAATGGAGAGACTTTCTTGGAATTCCTAATTCCCAAACACTGTCCAGATGTCGAGAATAGAATCTAAATTGAAGAGGTTCTGCATCTTCTGGGGAATCAGTAAGGTGGGAAAGCGTGTCCATCGAGGATCATGAAGCCCCAGTCGTCTGGAAGTAAGATGCAACCACATTATTAGTACTCACCAAAAAACTGTACAGCGAAAACAGCCAACAAAGCTGAAGATTTGGAAATCCCAAGGGCTACTGTGCTTCAAATATAAATGCGAAGTGAACCTAGCTGGCACGCTTAGTGTACCGTCAGCCGATACATCAGATTTGAGCACCTGGTTTACTTGAAAAAATCCTTTTTGTCCAGACAGAAAGGATGCAAATCAACACTGCTTTAGAAGCGAGTCACAATTGTCATAAACATCCGGGACTCAAACGTTGCTACATTAAGTTCGAACTGTACCATATGCTCTGAAAAGGTTTAGTGAAACGTCTATTGCGCGTTGAGTAACTGTGAGTTCGAACCCGACCTCTGCCTCTCGACTTCCCCTGCCTAGGCTCGGGCAACCTGACAGTATCCCAGCTCTCGTGCTTCCTATGGGTTGCAGTGAAAAGTATCCCAGTGCTGCTGACGGTAGTGCGTTGCATGGCATCAACGCCGATTGTTTTGCTTGTTCCAACCGACTGTCTGTTGCGTTAGGGTGCATGTGGGGAAGGCCGTCAATTAAGTTGCTGACAAAATCATCTCGATCACGTTGTTCTGCCACAGAGCGCACGGGTTACTAGGCAACGAGATGAACAATGCAAAACAGGTTGGGAAGAGCCAGACCTGCATTACAGTTAGTCCAGTAAGGTGGGTGTGCAAGCTGCGTTACTGATTCAGACCATATTGAACACTAGCAGCCGTCAACTGACGTTTGAACGACGGTGGTTCAGTGGATATATGTACAACGGTGAAGACAACGAGTAAGAAAGCATTCATATATGATAGCCAATGAAAGCCGGACAACTGACCTTTTGCTCCAGTTGGGCCTCTAATCCCTTAACTTGGACTTCCATCATTCGAAGAGAGGCTTGCAAACGCGTCGCATTCGACTCGGCCTCCTGTTTAGCCGCCTCAGTATCTTGTGTGACTCTGCGTGATATGGAAATGGTGAGGAAGTGTTCGTTAGGATTACACCAATATGGTCGAGTGAAGAAATGTTAGGGGTGCCAGTAAATAATTATGTGTACCACATTTCAGTGGACCAACTCATATTGTGCTTGTACCTACCTACCCCCGAACGCATGTGCAACAGAGTGAATGACTCAAGTGTACGAGTCAGTATTCCCTAGTTATATGGATACAAAACTCCTATGCACCATCACATAAAGCAGCCCCATGTGTAACATACTGTTCAGGCTGTGGTCCCTCAGAGGAGAACTCGTAGATCATCATCAGCTGTAAGAACCGCGTACTTGTCGTACAGTGATTGTGGCTGCCACAGTTTCGTTCACAAGTGATTTGGGGAGGTGGGGTAGGTAGCTGCGCATTGGAGGCGGGATCTGATAAATTCGTGCGTAAATACAGGACTGTTAATTGGGGCGATTGGGAAGGGAACTTTGCACTGAAAGCAACAACTTGGATGCACGAGCGCCATTGAGGGCGCGACTGGGCCATGTTTGACAATGTATCTAACCAGTGATGTGACCTGTCTCGGGGTTCCCAACCAGGAAGACCAGCAATGGCCAGCGCAGCTGAGTTTGCTGGTAATAGCTTCCACACTTCGCTGCCAAGTCATTGTTTGACCTCCCCTGGTTCGTTTGCACCCTTCACGTGGTTGTGCAAAAAGAGCCCTTTGAGGAAGTCGGTCAACTGGCATGCGCAACACGTGATCAAGTCAGTGCAACTTATGCAGTGTGATCAGCTCATCTATCATGAGTGAGTTAGTTCTTCCGAATACCATTCGACGAAGTTCAGCATTGCTGACCCGGTGTTCCCACAAGACTCGGCCAATGCTCCGAAGAAATCGATGGTCGGAGCAGAACAGCGGTCAGAGCAATGTGAATCAGAAAACTGGAGCGACGACAGAATGAGCCGTGATAGTGAACCGCAATTCTGAAGAAGACAACCAGTCTTCAAAACACATGTTAGTGGTTTGAAAACAGTGAAACCTCTGTCCTCTGTTCTCACGGAGTGTGAAATGTGTGGCCAACGCAGACAGAACAATATGATAAGACGGTAGTCAACAGGCACGAATGAAGTCTACGAAACAGGCAGCGCCTTGACCGTGTCACATCTCAGTATACTCCCAGGAGAAGTACACAGCAAGCGTCCTCTAACCAGGTCCCTAGAGGATAGTTCAGTGGTGATTTCGTATTGTAAGTGGAGTCAATCTATGCTGAAAATCCAAGGTGCACTTCACAGTCGTTTTAGCCTAATGATGGATTACCAACAGTGCGCACAAGACGAATCTCCAGGAGGATTCGAACTAGCAACCTCCCAGCTAGTGGCTGCAAACTAAACCATTCGACCAGAAGTGACTGATCAGTGGTGTGAATATTACACACATCGACAGGATATAGCGCCAGTCATCCCTCACTTTCAGAATTCCTATGGGAGTTCCCGTTTGACGGGACCATCTTTGCTGCAAAGAGCCCGGGAAGAGCAATTTTACGCAAAGCTAGCAGTCTAAGAAAAATAAAGAGAACAGAATGTTTCAAAAATCAACTGTCAATCCTGTAAGGGACACTAAACGAAACTGAATTTCCAAACTGTTCAAAGCCTCGTTAAGCTAAATGAACCACGGTCTCGAGTCTAAAACTGTTGAGTATATTCTGTCCAGAGTGGGTCTAAAGTTCCTCGTACCAACGGCAATCAAATAGTCTTTAGCGCCGGACATCCTCTGAGAGTTGCTCGAAAGGATCAACTCAAGAAAGCCGAACCTTCAGTGGGAATTTTACAACCCCATTCCATTCTGTTCATGTGCGGATTAATCAGCGAACTTTTCAATTTATAGCTTTAAGGCCCAACAAAACGGCAGTCGGGCCTTTAACCGGTTCCACTATCACTCACTTGAGTAACTTCTCCTCAGCATGCTTCTTGAGTGCCAAGTATTTGGTTTCCTGTCGCTGTAACAGGTTTTTGTACTCTTCTATGCTCCGTTTGAGGGCTTCTTCATTCTTGAATGGGGCGAGAAAGAAGAAGGGAACAGTTTCCCGGTAGAAAAGTTCATGTGAGCTTTCGAGTACAACAGTACAATACGGGAATTAGCCTGAAGAAACCATCCCAAAGTTCAGCAAAACGGTATCGGAACTCGAATTATCGGAATGAAAATTCAAACGACTAAATACCACACACACACACACACGGGACCTAGGTGTGAAACAGATAAGGGCAGGTAGGCAGTTGCTTCGTGGTGAAGGGTTTTCACGGTAGCAGATAGCCAAGTCGATAACCGGGGACATTCTGCTAACAAAGACCGTTCATGGTACACTCGTTTAGCTGTAACACCCTCTCAGTGCCTAACTGCTATGCCACCCGAGGGAAGTAGGAGAGATGAGGCACTGCCAGGTCCAAGTCCAAACCGGAGCAGTCGAGACGCCGGAGTTGGGTTCGAACCACGGACATTGTGGTCTGCAAGTTTAGGCCTTAACCACTGAGCTACCACGAGCTCAGAGTACAGATGTAAAGAATATAAGAAATTGAGCTCGGGAAAATCGATCAACTAAGGGAAACCACTACAGTAGCCAGCGTGCGCTCAAATCTCCACCAAACAACTACCTATCCCTAGAATGTCAAGAACTAGAGGATTTCCAAGACACAGGCATCACACGTTGCGCAAACTGTGTACCCATTTAAGGACAGTATCCGTACTTTTGCCAATAAGGTTGACGTCTCTTGTGCAATGGCCAGCTCCTCAAGTCACGATAAACGTTCGTTAACCACTGAAAATGCAGTTGAGTACAGTAATGAGTATACTTAAAACGCAAAAGAAGAGAAAACAACACTGCCTGTACGGGGAAGATGACAGATGAGAGGGAAACTTATTGGTCAGTCAACTTAGGATGGAATCGCTGTCCTTGAGGTAAAAAAACTCGTAAATTGGTACAGAAACCTGAAAACTGCCTCTATGCGAGTAAACCACCCCAGTTAAGGAGCACTGCTTCTAGTCACCGTTTCCAGTGGTGCGAATGTGGATATACGAGTGAGTATTAACCACGCACAGCCTTCGGCTGCTTACTGTACTATTCAGATGGAAAGGCGTTTTAATTCCACAAACCTAAACCCGAAAGCTCTGATCAGTCATCATCATCATCATCAAAGACAATGATCAGTACGCGTCATAACTGCATAGTACTTTAGGCGTACCGGTAATCATTGTGATCGGGAATCGGTAGCGCCTAGACTGCAAATCCACGGACCAGAGGCTCATAACCAATTGATAAAATTGTTCCGCTGTAGCATCCTTTCCGTGCCTAGCTGCTATGCCACCCGAAAGTTTCACGAGGGCTGGGATACTGCCGGGTTACCCAAGCCTACACAGGGGAAGTCGAGAGGCAAAGGTCGGGTTCGAACCACAGACCTTCCGGTCAGTAAATTCGCGCTATAACCACTTGGACCATCTCGTCCGTAACCAGTGCATGGAGGTCGAATACACTCCTCAGTCCTTCAGCCTTGAAATGGAGCGTACGATGGCGAACAGAAAAAGGACATTAGGAACAAGACAAATCACAAACGTCCCAAAGATATGAGACACTTTCCTACGTAGCCATCTCACCCTTTGTTGCCGAACCACATGCACTGTAAGGTTAGATACGGTGAACCTCAAAGCGAAAGCGAGTGTAGCATTTCAGAAATTCACTAGAGTTATAAAAAGATGAACGTAGAACGCAACCCTGTCCCAACCCGTGCTTTCATCGCAGGACAGAACAGAACAGAACAGAACACGTTCAGGAAACGGGTACATATCCAAAACGTAGAACAAGCGAGGGCTTGTGAACCTTCGACCAGAGTAGGAACTCTGCAGAAAGGAGGACAGCTCGCTAACTTAAACAATCGACGTGGACAGGACAGCTGCTACTAGACATCATGACTGGAAGCGTCTTACTGTTTCTTTCAGGAAGCTTATGGGAACTTATCAAACAAAACGGAACGTCGGAACAGCTCGTAGTGGGAATAAGATCAACCTTGGAAAAAGAGAACACACATTATATTGTGGCAGGCAAACTGACAAGGGAAGGCGAAATGTTTCGACAGGGAACCCTTGTACCACGTGTGACAGAGTTTGTGCACCAATTGAGTAGTAAACATCACCATCAGATATTAACCGGACAGGATTTTACAGTGGTCGAAGGTTTGATTCGCCGAAATTATACACCTACTGTCTGTTTTGAAAGAGTTAACCCTTCACCCGTACAGTGAGACGGAACGTCAAACAAATGACTAGACTTGTAAGGAAGTAGGGAGAGGGTTGACAGATCATCAACAGTCAGCTGAGCAAAGAATTGTCTCAAACTGTTTATTACAATTAAAAACACCAACGTAAATTAAGTGCACCAACAACGGCCAAAAAGGTTCGAAGGAAACCACCATTTGACCTTGACGCATCACAGAGGCATAACTTATACAGGTGGCAGAAGGTGCGCCTCCTCCTAATCGGTGAATTATCTATCTGGTAAGAGCGAAAGGTGATCGTTAACCATTCCGGGACGTGTGCCTCGGCTTCATATTTCGACAAGATTAATCATACTGATTGAAGGCTTCTTTCTGGATGACTTGGAGGGTGCAATGCCATGTTGAAGCTCATTAACATCTTTTTCACGAAACTTGCCAGCTAAACGAGGAGATTTGATGGACCCATACCTAAGTTAGTCAGCCTAGGTATCGTTAGCTTGCAAATATCTGTGTATCAGATCCACACACAGCACAGGGAGGGGCGCAATCCCATCGTTTACTATCCGTGGATGAAGTAACGTAGCCATATAATATGTGGCCGAGATGCCTCAGTGGTTAGAGCGCGAATTTACTGACCGGAAGTTCCGTGGTTCGAACTCGACCTCTGAACCTCGACTTCTCCTGTCTAGGCTTGGGCAACCTGGCAGTATCTCAGCCCTCGCGCTTCCTTCGGGTGGCACGGCAGCTAGGCACCGAAAGGGTGTTACAGTCGAACGATTACCATATAATAGGTACGACTTTAGTCCGACAGAAATACGCCCAACGATTTTCGTTTTTTCCTTTACCGGGAATGGGTGGTATCACCCATCCCAATGATGATGACCAAAAGTCGATATTTCAGAGAAACTACGTCCCCATGATATGTGATTCCATCAAGCCCTATAGAGAGGACAGAGTAACTGCTTCACACAAAAACCGGTATACGACCAAACTAACCTGCTTAAATCCCTCGATGACTTGCTTGGACTTCTCAAACCGTCGATGCAGGTCACCAAATGCTTTCTCAATGGTGGCCACTTCTTCAACCGCTTGGTCCCGTTCGCTGATTAGGTCAGCAACAGAAACATTGACTTGTGCTTGTCCTTGAGATTTCTCGGCAATCATGTGTTGAAGGCTTCGGTCGTACTCAGCAATGCATCGTCTGGAAGGGAATACGCGAGATGAGATGCTTAATCTCTAGCTTCTGGTGAACCGGCGCTAAAACGTAGCGTCAACAGTAAGCATCATGACACCACTACTGCTAAAATGAATGGAAATATACTACTTCGTGTTTGGATCCGAATGGCATTGGAACCATGTCATTAAACCGACCAGGAGCGTGAAAGCAACGAACGTTAGGTCCAGTGCACGGTACAACCGAAACCACTAGACGATTGATTCAGTGACCATTCGAACAAATGTGAGCGTAAGAAACAAATCGCCAACCGTCACAAAGAGACTGGACCTTAACGTAGGTAACGGTTTGTGTACCTCGGCGACCGATTGAGCTATACTGGATGGTCTCCGAGATACAGTCCCAGTCTCTCATACTCAGTTCGTCAATAGTTAGTCTGCTGGTCGTCCAAGTTGGGGGTCGGAATATGTGTGGCGACTTGTTCCGTAAAAACGGTAATGTATTTGCATTTCCCATCAAACACCTCTGTCTTGCGGTCAGGTTTTTGAGTCAGTGAACGTGGAACCCCCTACGGTCTCGGAGATTTGCAACTATATATGTTCTCTCAAGCACCACCGAGCGTCTGGTCCGGATGACCTCCTACACGCACTGTTCAAATATGGGGCTGAAGTCCTCTATTTGTCAGCATTTGGATAAAAGAGACCGTCCCAGACGACTGAGGAGAGTTGTTGATAGTGCCCGTCTTTTACAAAGGGGCTCGTGGTATCAGCTCAATCCCGGTCTTAACCAGACTGCTTGTGTCACTTGTGTTTTACCGCCTTATGATGACTCGTGAAACACTCACTCGAGGGCATAAAGCGGGGTTCCGGCATTGTATGGGTTGTGATGACCAAATTTTCACACTCCGCTAAGTGCTAGAACAACGCACATTCGACTCAGTTGACCGGTCCGTTCTGCTGGGCACATTTGTCAATCAAGGAATGCCCCGGAAGTCTGTAAAGTAAGTTCTTTGCATTCTTAGACTTCCGGAAGTATGACAGTATAAGGAAAGCTCTCCAGAAGCTTCCGTACACAAATTGGTATGCGTCATGGATGCCCACTCTCTCCATTCCCATTTAACTTTGTGATCGATGAAATAATGAGACGAACGCCGCAGGGTCTCCAAAACCCCGGGGTTCAGATAGCCTGTGACGAAAACCTTATCGATCTGGAGTACGCAACGACATCGTTCTCACCTTCGTAGAGGAGAAGAGGGCGCAGGTGTTTTTGGATGAAATAACCAAAGTCATCCCGTCCTTTGGTATGCACCTTGCACCCACAAAGGGTAAGGTCATGCTCCTGGATATGTAGTCACAGCATGCCACTTACAACCCAGGGAGAGGCACTCGAAAATGTGGAGCTTTTTACTCACCCTGGAAGTTATGTTATATCCGATTATAGTGTGACAAATGAGATCAGTGCACGCATCTGCAATGATCCAGTCACGTTCGCTAATTTGAGACATCTGTGGCATCAAAGCGGTATATCCCTGAATTCCAAAGCATGCGTGTATCAGGCTACAGCCCGGGCTACTTTGCTTTCTGGTTAGTGAGGCATGGCGTGTTCGATCAGCAGAACTGAGATATCTTCAGGTGTTCGACAATCGTTGTCCCAGGACCATAGTTCGCTTGGGTTGGTGTCCGAGAATTCGTAACCAGGCAATTAGGAAGCGCGTCTTCGGTTGTGCAACGGGGACTTTCATTGGACCGCCCCGCACCACAAGCTGCGTTGGTTAGGTCATGTATTGCGCATGCCAAACGATCGTTTGCCAGAGAGAGTGCTGTCTCACGTGCCCTATTCAGACTGGCATAAGCAGAGAGACGGCCAACCTGGCAGAGGGGTACGAAGAAGACAACGAAACGTTTGGGTACTGCTACTCGTCTTTCAGGATGGAAAGCACGAGATATCCGTCGCACCTGGTTGAAGACACTGCGTCAATGGCGTCCTTGTTGTCAGTTTCTATTCAGATTGCCTGAATGAGTGTCCGAAGGTGTAAGCATCTCGGAATGATTGTGGTAGCATTGTAGTTGTAATGTTAGCAATAGGTCCCTTACCCATCATTTATACCACCCTTATTCTCTTCTTCAAGGCTTTCGAATAAATTATGGTTATACGGCAACGAAGCATCAGTGTTGAACACTGATGTCATGCTGTCGATGATCATGATGATTCACCAGGGACTTACTGCATTTCATCTATGGTCTTTACCAACTCATCACGTTCCTTCCGAAGGGCTATCACTTCACTCTCTGTCACGGGGGTATCGAACCGGGCGGAATTGTCTAACTCATCGTCCATAGAAGGTCGATGAAGGAGCGGTTGGGCAGGAGAGGCTGGACGGGTTGAAGAATCAATCTTCGTGAGGACCTGGACAAATACAACAAAGACTTCTTGAAAAACGTGGTTAACTCCATCTGATTCGTAATCGGTTCAATAGCAAGCTAGTTAGGGAATTAAAGTGAAACAATAACACTGAGGTCATGTGACACCGGTCGTGGGAAACGCCAAAACATGCAAAAGGAGATGTGTAAGCAGATCAATACGTAAAGTGCGTGTGACGGCGGTCCACCAGGATGTTGAATATTCAGGAAAGTGACAGATAAAAGACAACACCATGACTGCAAACATTAACAGCATCGTGAGAGGCCGACGAGTCAACACCCATACCTGTCTTAAGTGAGTTTCATTAAATCAAAAGCACGTGATAACAACGGATTGGAATGGAAACAAGCAGAAGCTAGGTTGTCAATTTAGGCTACGAGAGGAGAACCGGACCGCTACGCAGCAGAGACACACCAAACAAGGCATACACACAATTTTTTCAAGAAAAACTGGATAAACGTATCAGATAAAAGCGACAGAATAAGTCGAATGAGTACTCAGAATGAGAGTGAAACACCTGTATAGTGATTCCAGCTTTTTCAAAAGAACGTTGCTTAATTAAGAGGGAAAAAATCTCCATTGAAAACCTCAAATTTTCTCCCACATCACCAACAAACTATTTAGCTTAAAAACATCATAAACGAGAGATTCGGGTGAGTCTCCCGTCAAAACCAAATTAATATCCAAATGAGTGTTTTTCGCTAAACCACTTAGGCGTTATCCCCTTCAGGCGCATAGGTGTTATACCTGAGAGCTGAACTATGTTCCGCTCGTAAGTATACCTAGACCAGAACGACCAAGATGCCGGGGTTAGGTTGGGACGAATGACCTTGAGACGAGGAGTTCTTAGTACTTGAGCTCACGATTAATTTGACGGTTTTGATAATAAAAC